TATGTTCAGATATTCATGTAACAAAATATATACAAATTAATACCTAAATAGGGACGTAGTAGTATACTTAAAGTATGATGTAAAGTTCACTTAAAGAAAATTTACGAGTATACTTGTAGTATAAAACTACTAAACTAGTAGTTTACTGAGACTATACTTCAAAGTGTACTAAAAAAGCTACAAGTATTTAATTAGTAAATTATGAATATGTATAAGTTCACTTTTAGTATAGTTGCAGTACAAACTAAAAACATAGATGTAAACTAGTAGTGTACTCAAAGTTTACTTCTGTTATACTTAAAGTATACTTTTATATACTAGAAAGTGGGCCAATTTAGTCCCAAGGAGTATTGAAATAGTACACTTACAAGTATACTACTAGTAGACTGATATTTGTATACTTACTACATAAATTATACTTAAATATACTTTGAACTTTACTTAAGTATACTTAATAAAATAAACTTGAAGTATACTACTTTTTGGTAAGGGTACAGCTTAATGTTAGCGCAGTTATATCAAAGCTATGGTTTTATATCAAAGAATTCACAATTAATTGCACGGGATTGGTTATAGGGTGCGAATTATGATTTGAATCTTGATAAAGGAGGTTAAAATAATGTATTCTTTTTACACACAACAGTATACTTTACAGTAGCGTCTTTAAACCACTAAATAAACATAAAAGTTTGACAAACTACTAGAGCCTGCCCTACTGTAATAATTTATTAATCTATTATAGTTGTAAACAACATAAAAATATAACAAAAACTACTAGTGTTTTATTTAAAAAACGTCTTTTAGGGTTAGCAAACTGTGCTAGATATTTTTGGTTACCCAGAATGAACCTATCAGACTTCAGCTAATTTAATGACAGGAATGCATTTAAACCGTTGACTCCTCTGAAACCTAATGAACAAACATAATACTTAATACATAATGCTATGAAACTCAGGTAGGACTTTTATTTAGATATTCACCAGGGATTTGTTCAGCAAAAGCTAGATTCAGTATTTCCAATGTTATCCGGTCCAAGCACATTTGTAGAAAACATGACCAAAACAATCAAATTTGAAAGAATATCTTTTGTTTTTCGGTGGAAATGTATGAGTGGAATTAAGAGTTGACCCCTTTAAAACTCACTGAATAAACATCATTCCTATGTTTTTTTTTTTTTTTTTTAGATATGAGAGACTCAGGTAAGCAAATTTTCCTCTATACCACATATTCACCAGGGATTTCTTCAGCAAAAGCTGGATTCAGTATATTTACAGTGTTATTTGGTTCAAGCACATTTGTAAACAATGTAACCAAAATAGTCAAATTTGAAAGAATATCCTGTGGATGCACTGGCTTCAGTGGGCATTTTATGGGCAAAATTTGACATAGTGTACAATTACTCATTAATGACCACACCCAAAAATGTAATTGCCTTTTTTTTCAGCAAAATCATTTGACAAATCAAAATTAGTCTTTAGATAATACACATGAAAAAGCTTAGAAGGAGTTCAAAAATGAAAACTTTTAATGGTTGATTTTATGGAGGGAGTGTTTAAAGAGATGCTGTGTCAAATCCATTTTTAAGTAAAAATCAAATATAGAGCAATTTATTGGTGTTGTTTAACAAGTTGATTGTTTTGTAAAGGGTTACAGACAAATGTACTCAAACATCATGCTAAACAGGCTTCATATGTGGTCACATGCATGGGCTACACACGCAAAACACTAGGTGAGCAATATGAATATTAATTCACTTCCAAGAATGACATGACATGGTCAGTATTTCACTGCTATCTTTGTCATGGCAACCCCTGTACAGTATTAAATAGAGTGTCATCGGAGATCCTGTTTTTTTAGAGAATGCATTATAATGATTTGAATCTTACTATTTTATTTCAAGCCTCTTGGACGTAAAGGGGTTGAGTGGGCAGAACAAAGACGGTAGAATTCATTACGAGGCCTCTCTGCATCGTCAATTGGGATGCTGCAGATTGGGGGCTAATTTGCTCGCTGTTGTTTTGGTTGCCAACTGTGCTGGATGGCTGCGAGGAAAGCAATTAAAGATTTTGTCTTATAGCCAAATGAAGAGCAATTAAGAGGAATGAATTCAGCCTCTTTATGTCACAATCACACTGAAGAGCTGTTGGTGGTTAGATTAGCATAAGTACTGTCAGCGTGCTTTGTTCCCAGCGTTTTTCCACCCTTTGACCATAGTAACTTCCATAAAAAATCTACTATTAGCTCACAAAAAGTATATTCAAATTCAGTATGTCACATCTGGTTCTTAAAGGAATAGTTCACCCCAAAATGAAAATTCTGAAACCCAGAGGCCAACCCAGATGTAGATGAGTTTGTTTCTTCATCAGAACAGATTTGGAGAAATGTATCATTACATCACTTGTTCACCATTGCATCCTCTGCAGTGAATGGGTGCCGTCAGAATGAGAATCTAAACAGCTGATAAAAACATGATAATCCACAAGTAATCCACACGACTCCAGTTCATCAATTAATGTCTTGTGAAGCAAAAAGCTGTGTTTGTAATAAACAAAATCATCATTAAGGAGGATTTAACTTCAAACCGTTGCTTCCGGCCATAATCCATAACACTGTACCATGTCCTCCAGTGAAAAAGTTGTCTCGTCTGAATCGGGAGAGATATATGCACAGATCAAGTGCTGTTTACAAGCCAAAACAGTCCTAAACAGTTCTAAACAAATATGTCAGCAGATTTTGATGTGAGAGCACAACAGGGCATGGACATTTTCACTGGAGGAAGAGTTGTTATGGACTATGGACTCGTATTTCGGCCAGAAGTGATGGTTTAATGTTAAAATGCCTTAACGATGGATTTGTTTCTTACGAATGCAGCTTTTCACCTCACAAGATGTTAATTAATGGAATGGAATCATGTGGATTACTTGTGGATTATTGTGATGTTTTTATCAGCTGTTTGGACTCTCATTCTGACGGCACCCATTCACTGCAGAGGATTCATTGGTGAGCAAGTGATGTAAAGCTAAACTTCAAATCTTTTCAGATGAAGAAACAAACTCATATTTTGGGTGAACTGTTCCTTTAACCGATAAACGAAATATATTTGTTTATATTCTACAGAGCATTTTTCATAGGTCATTTGGCGCCACCAGCCAAAACAAGTTTCGTCTCTGCAAATAAGTAGGCAGAAGAAGAGAGCTTGAGTTACGGCAGTGGTTGTGTTAATTGATGTAGTGATCTATATTTTAAAGTCCATAATTAAGTCTTTGAGTTTCCGCAATAGTGCCTTGTCAAATGTGTCTGCACACCAGTGAGCCAATGTAATGAAGAAGGTTCCCTTCTGTTAATTTGAGACCCAGGGCTTGCTGTTACGTATTAGTTTTAGATTTATTACTCTGTCGCTGGACCAGCAGAAGAAACTCTTCCTGTGACGTGCCTGCACTGCCATCATGGAAGAATAGGAGTGTTGATTTAGTGTAAATTCAAAGACTATTTGATTGTTGCCGATAATTAGATGACCTTGGTTATGGCCAGGACAGTTTCATTAGACCAATTTGCATGTTCATGTTTGATAAACATGCACATTATTTCAAGAAACAAACTGGGTTGTGGAGAGTGACAATTACATTACTGAGAATCATCAACCTCCTCTCTTGTTATGATAAAAAGTGTTCCTTTAGACAATAGACAGTGCAATTGTGATTCTGTGTTGTTTAGCCTTACAGTGATACACAATAGATGTGTTCATTGTGTGACTTCTCTTGCTTTAAATGAGTGATTTATTTGGAATAGCATGCATAAAATAGTCATACAACCTGACAGATATCACTGGAATATGTGTCCAGCACAAGAAAGCACAAGTGTCACATTGGACACATATTGATAATACATTAGCTACATCTATTGTAATAAATTATAATATAATAATTAATATAATAGAATATAAAAATCTATTAATAATAAAAATATATACAATATTTTTTACAATAATATATATTATTAATATAATATATAGAATAATATATTTTTAGTCACCAGAAGAATTCTTCATATTCCTTTCTTCGTAATTTTAAATAGCTAAAATATCATTTAAATGTACTGCTAAATTACTTTATATAATTTAAATAACACCATATAACTCCAGTTACACCCATAAATTCAAAACAACAGCACTTGAACTACATTTAAATGGAAATCTCACAATGGCATATTTACTAACATTACAAGTTGAGATTTTAGTCACCAGAGGGCTCCCTTTACCCAAAATTCCTGAGAGATTGCTGGAAATAAAAGGCCATCAGTTTAGTGTTTTGAAAAATGCCATGCATCTGAAAAGCATTAGCAGTATTATCAGTAAGGCTCCTGTGGAGAGTTATGTGTTGTTTGAAGAATGTTCCCACATAGCTGTAAATCTAGGGTGACATTAATAATACACTGCAGACAAACTCGAAGTGTTGTAAATGATTGTTTGGAAAACAGGCAATGAATAACACAAAAAGAAGGATCTAAAAAACATTGTAATTTTTTGTGTATATTATTATTATTATTTTTTTAGAGTGTTTACCTGACTTGGACAGACATAACAATATTGGCTCAACCAACAGTGTAAGTTTAGGGTGGGACTACATGTGAGACCAAACAATAGGACAGAAAGGGCATGTTTGAAAATGGTTATAATTTCACAAGTCGTTAATTGATGGAGTCGTGTGGATTACTTGTGGATTGTGATGTTTGGACTCTAATGTGTAACTGCTTTTTAAGTGATTCCAAATAATTTTTTTTATCATTTCTAGTATTTGTACAGGCTTTGCATTTTTCAGTGTCAAGAATATTGTAATTAGCTATTAATTTAATTTTGAAGTGGATTTGTTATACGTGACAGCATTAAAGTTTCACCACATGATCCATCTTAAGACATAACTGACTGCGTTTAAATTAATTGTGCAACATAAAAGCATTTTGCAATTTGAGAGGCGAGTCGACATCTCCTGCGATGCATCAAGCCACCCGCATAAAAGCTCACCATTGAAATTAATGCACGACTCTTGACAAACTGTACGTACTGTGTGTATGACTGCAATAATGAGATAATTATTCCTTCACGAATATAAATATTCAATGTCTATTATTTATTATAGATTATGCAACATTTTAATTATTTTCAAAAAATTATTTAAAAAAAATAATTTTCCTGGTTAGTATGGTGCTCTTGTAAGAAAATAGCAGTGGCTGGGACAGACGTTCAGTATCGTCTTCACTTAAAATGCCACAATTTAATTCTGTTTATGTGAAATAAGCCTGCTCCTGAGCTATGACAGCATTCCACCTAAACAAATCTTTGATCATTGCGATGCATCTCAGGGCTTTTTCAGCATTTCACACATAGATGAACTAAAACCGTAATAAACTTTGACTGAAATAAACATTAAGAAATATTTTAAGAAATAAGGCAACATCTCATTTTCATGTAGTTTAACTTTGTTTACTAAAATAACAAAAACTGAAATAAAAACTATACAGACAATAGTTCAAGAAAATAAATAAATGAATGAAACTGAAACGTTATAATCCAAAAATGAAGAAAAGTTCCAAAAACGATAATGTTTATTAAATGAAACAAACTTAGTTAATCCACAAGAAGAAAAGAAAAAATGGTAACACTTTACAATAAAGTGTCATTTGTTAACATTAGTTAATGTGTTAACTAACATGAACTAACAATGAACAACACATTTGTTACAGTATTTATTAATCTTTGTTAATCTTAGTTAATGAAAATACAGTTATTCATTGTTTGTTCATGTTAGTTCACAGTGCATTAACTAATGTTAACAAATACAATGTTACGGGCTGGTGAGGGACACACACACGAGGACGAAGGAAATAAACAAAAGGTATTTTAATAAACAAATCCAGGAGACAGGCCAGTACACCAACATTACATAAACGAGAACGGACTCTGACTAATGGAAAACTGAGAGTATTTGTAAGGGAGCAAACAAAATAACTAATGAGTTAATTAATGTAACACAGGTGAACGAAATGACAATTAGGGGCCAAAGTAAAACTAGGTCACAGGGGAACAGATACACTGAAAACACAATGAAAACAGAACAAAACTAAACATAACCCTAACATTACTCCCTCCTCTCGGAAGGCGCGTCCCGTGCCGTAACAGTACCACCGGGGAAGGGGGGCGGACACCCTGGAGGCTGGTGAAGGACTGGAACAGGATGGAGATAAGGAGAGCCTCCAGGGCGGATACGGTGAGTGACTGAAAGGAGCGTGCTTTTGAAGGTGGCTTGATTGGTGGCGGCAGGTGCCGGTGATCAGAATCCAGGTGAGTGAGATCTGGTGAGATTGGTGATTGTGACTGTGAACTGGTGTGAGCCGAGGAGGATTCTGGGGTATGGAGTCCAGAGCTGGTGACAGGTGACAGATACTCCCTGACATTACCTCCCCCTCCCGGAAAGCCCGTCCCGCGCCGTAACATATCCACTAGGGAGGGGGGGTGGGTGCCCTGGAAGCTGGTCCAAGACGGAGACACGGAAGGCCTCCAGGGCGGATCAGGGAGTTCAGGAGGCCATGGCGGAGCAGGCAGTTCAGGCCGCCATGGCGGAGCCGGCAGCTTAGGAGGCCATGGCAGATCCTCTGTGGCCCTGGCTGGCCCGGCCACAGGTATATGCCCCCCCCCAAAAAATCTTCTTGGGCAAATCTAGGAATCCTGGGGGTCTCTCAGGAGGAGCGGGCTCTTGAGGGCGCTCTGGAGGAGCGGGCACTTGAGGGCGCTCTGGCAGAGCCAGCACTTGAGGGAGCGCACTGGAGGAGCCGGCACTTGAGGGCTGGACAGGACCAGCGAAGGTGAAGGCGACAAAAGAGGGCTGGACGGGACCAGTGGAGGCGAAGGAGGCTCAGAGAAGCGTGTTAGCGCGGTTTCTGGGGTGAGGACGGGTGCCGAGAACCCCGGGGAGCAAGCTCTGGGGCTGGAGCCGACACTGGAGCGAGCTCTGGGGCTGGAGCCGACACTGGGCAGAACTGGGGATCAGGAGTCCTTCCTGGGCAGAACTGGGGATCAGGGGCCCTCCCTGGGCTTAACGGGGAAACAGGAGCCCTCCCTGGGCTTAACGGGAAATCAGGAGCCCTTCCTGGGCTTAACGGGGAATCAGGAGCCCTCCGTGGGCTATTCTCGGGAACCGGAGCCCTTCCTGGGCAGAAGGCTCCGGTAGAGCTTCGGAGGACCACGGGAGATTTGGGGTTAGAAAGCAGGCGGTAAGAGCCGTTGGAGTGGTATGTGGAGGTTCTCGGCGTGGGGTGAGCTGGGGAGACGCGGCGCATTCCTGTGGGAGTTGGATGACGAGGCTTGGGAAATTTCTTTACTTCTTCAACTTATTAATTGATGATTTTCTCAAAATGTTGCTTTTTTATTAAATTTACCCACATTCAAATGTTGATAAACAGAATGCATTAAGCTATCTATTTATTTAACAGTAGCACTTCTTTTGACATTTTGCTTATTCATATAGCAACCTATTCTATGGGCCATGAAAGTTTTGTGAAAATGACCAAAAATGTGACTGGTGAAAAAAATGCTGGATGGGAAATATAACTGAAAAAAATATATATTATTATTATTATATTATACAGCATTCAAATATTTTCTTCTCACATTTATTTGCAGTTGTACTGGTGAATCCAGATCTCAACAAGAGATCACAGCAATTCACCCAAGCACCTTACGAAGGATATGTGCAGTGTCCATGAGTGCGATCTTTTGCACTTCACTAGAGCGCTTACGTGGTGCTGGCACTGGAGGGCGCTCTGGAGGAGCAGGCACAGCAAAGCGCTTTTGAGGAGTTGGCACCAGAGCGAGTGCCACCTGAATGTCCGGCGGGCTTGACTTCCGAGCGGCCGGCCATCTTAACTGCTGAGAGCCCGGCACTCCTGGGCTGAATACTCCGGCGGAGATTCGGAGGACCACGGGGGATTTGGGTTTAGACAGGCGGGAAGAGCCGTTGGAGTGGCATGTGGAGGTTCTTGGCGTGGGGTGCGCTGGGGAGACGCGGCACATTCCTGCGGGAGTTGGATGACGAGGCTTGGGAATATTCATTACTTCCTCAACTTCCATATCAGAGCTATTTAGGAATAGTACGAGATTAATCAGCTCGATCAAAGGAAAATCACCCGTAGGGAGATCGCAGCGGATTGTTTCGTCATCCAACCCCAGCAGGAAGCACGCGCCTAGAGCGGTGTCGTGCCAACTCACCCGGTTGGTGAGCTCGAGGAAACCCTCCACATATCGCTCCAACCTCCGACCGCCTTGCCGCAAACCCCACAGCGCGTCCTCTGCTGCAGTCATCGTTGGGTCCGTTCTTCTGTTACGGGTTGGTGAGGGACACACACACGAGGACGAAGGAAATAAACAAAAGGTATTTTAATAAACAAATCCAGGAGACAGGCCAGTACACCAACATTACATAAATGAGAACGAACTCTGACTAAGGGAAAACTGAGAGTATTTGTAAGGGAGCAAACGAAAGAACTGAGTTAATTAATGTAACACAGGTGAACGAAATGACAATTAGGGGCCAAAGTAAAAGTAGGTCACAGGGGAACAGATACACTGAAAACACAATGAAAACAGAACAAAACTAAACATAACCCTAACATACAACTTTTGATTTTAATAATGTATTAGTAAATGTTGAAATGAAAATTAACTAAGACCAATAAATTCTGTAGAAGTATTGTTCATGCTTCGTTCATGTTAACTAATACAGTTAACTACTGTTAACTAATGAACCTTATTGTAAAGTGTTACAGAAAAAAAAAACAGCATGAAACACATGACACGACAATACCAGACAAAGATAGGGAGCCAGCTGAGGAAGTTAAATACACAAGATAATGAACAGAATCAAAACAGGTGAGATCTAATTAATGAGTTGTCATAGAAACTAACTAGTGTTGGGAAAAAGAGAACGAAGGAAAAACAAAGCAGGCAAAACAGGAACTGAACCAAAACAAAGAAACAGAGAATGTTCATGTGACAGAAATTTATTTTAAACTTAACTTAAAAATATGACTAAAATTTGAATGAAAACAGAAAATAGAAAAATAGAAACTAATTCGAACTAATGTTAGTTTTAACTTTTAAAAACATGTCGATATATTCCGAGTTCTTTTCCATTCTGGATGTTCTGAATTTCCCCCTAAGTGTGTTGGAAATGGGAAAAATACAGTAATTATTCAATGTCTTATCTAATCTTCCCTATATTTATCTGTCTCAGAACTTACCGGCCACCATGAGAACATATTTAGGCTTTGGGCCAGGTCAGATCCATCCCCTTCTCCTCAGTGTATAGTCTGTCATTGCTCTAAAGATGGGAGTGTGATTGTTACTCACGGATCGTGTCGGATATAGCATTTGACATTTGAGCTTATGAAATCAAGAGAGGAACATCTACTCACCTTGGGATGATCTTTGATAAAACATTAATTAAACTCATCTTATTGCTTTTCCTCTTTTTTTTCCAGACTTTTGTTATGTCGGTTCCCTTGAAGGTCGCGGTGCTTTAAGATTTAAAGACCATTAATGTATTTTTTTTTAACATAGAAATGAATTAAGGCAAAGGTCTGATCATTCCACCAATAGAAAATTAGACAGAAATGATAAGAAATGCAAAGTGAGGCCCAATCAACCGCACAAAGGCTGCCTATCCATATGAGGATGATTTATCCTGCCAGGAAGAAGAATTTGGGCTCATTGTAGCGTGTGTAAATCCGGATTTATTTCCTCAATGAACCGGTGAGATATAATGAAACACTCTGTGAATTGATTAATATCTGCCTCCAAATGCCAGGCGTCAATCTCAGTTATTCAAGGTTAAAAACAACATTGTCTTTTGAGTGCAACACTTGCATGCTGCTTTCAGTGTTTAAACCCAGGTGTGTGAGCATGATTCATGCCTTTTGTAGCAATAACTCGTGCCAGCATTTAAAAAAATAGTTATGTAATGGTTATGCAATGCTTAATTTTTATGTAATTCATAAACACTTGGTCCAGGCACATGCCACAGTTTGAAATTGTTGTCATATTTTACTTTTATGCTTCAATCTATGTTTATAATAAATAGATTTCTGTTTTATATTTCTGTTAATGGCATAAGCTTTCTTGCCAGAGTGACTTATTAAATTGGACTAGTCTATATACTGAATATACATTAGGCAACATAATGAATATCAAATGATTGTAATATGGTTTTCAGTTGGCCATTACAGCTCCGGGGGGTGAATAAAGGCCTCCTGAAGTGAAGCGATGTGTTTGTATAAGAAAAATATCCATGTTCATAAACTTCATATACTGTAACCTCTAACTTCCGCTAACTGTCGTACATACACGAGAGAGTAGTGTTCCAGCAGATGACATAGGACATAGGCAGTGGCGTAGCGTCTGGGCATGCAGGTGCATATAGGCCCGGGCAGTTTGGGGGCCCGCCGAGCTGGGGGGAGCTTTTAATTGAAACTAGGAAACAAATAGAGCCCTGCATGGGCCCGGCCCTTGTCCAACAGCTTGTGAGAATTCTCGGCCCGAGTTCGACTGGATACCGTGACTTTTTTCTCTCTCTCTTCCCCATTACACAGCTATTAAAATAGTTCAGTTTTGGTTTTTAATGGCAAAGTGGTCATATTTCTTTTTGTTTCTTTAAGTTAATTTAGAAATATGTTTGGAACATTTTATGTTTGTTAAATTCAAGTTTTTGTTTTTTAAAGGAACGACCAAGCGGCAGCGGCAGACAGTGAGTTGAGCATTATGTCTGATCAATTTAGCCTTCTCAAACCAACACGACTTGCCTAAAATAAACAGACATAAAACACTTCATGCATTTCACAGTATTAATTTAAACATTTAACCTAGATAAATGAGCACTGTTAGGCACATATCCAATCGTTTGTGCGGAGAGTGGAAGCTAAAGCGCGCTTTGCAGGACATGGAGGTGCCAGTGCGATTACTTGCATTTTTTTTGTTGTTGTTGATAACAGTGGAAACCTAAAAATACGGTGTAATTTTTGCTCATAAAGGTAAGAGTATACATCATTCGGAACTGCAAATGGTCTACTTGTATTTGTGTGCACTCACAATATCATAATACTTGTGCTTTTGTAAAATAAAGAAAACAAACAGGATGCGCTTTCTGTCTAATCGGTGTTTTGTAAGTGTTGCGCTCTGGGCTCGCTCTTTTTCTGAGGAAGGAGAGATGTTCGTTCAACCCCCGCTGTTCCAGTTCTGCAGTTGCAGAGGCACCGCATGAGCTGGATGCTTGGGGTGACAGCGATGAGCTTGAGTGTACGGAGAGTGAGCGAACGGGATCCCCCTTTCTCTCTCTCGCTCTTCCCTGGACCACATGCGTTCATCAGAAGAGTGCCTTGTGAGTCCGGTGGTTTAGTCAAATCTGATTCCGCTCCGGAAGATCGCAAATCAATTCTTTTGGCTGCGGATTAGATGATGCATACTCTACAGCGGCCTCAGACTCTCAGGAGCTTGAAGGTGACACGCTGTAGATAAAAGCTAGGGTTAACCGCCTGGGGTCGGCAAAGACGCCGGCGGGAGCACTTGCATATTTTCCAGAGAAAATAACTTAAAATGCTCCATCACTTTTGATTGGACACATAAAAGTAATGCATCACTTGAATCTGTAAAGGGTCTACTTTTATTTGTGTATGCTCACCATATCAACTAAATCTTGTGCTTTTGTAAAATAAAGAAAACAAACAGGATGCGCTTTCTGTCATCTTGGTCTTGAGCAGGAGCGCTTCACCGACATGATAAATATCTATAGGATGCTCTAAATTACTATTTTAAAACGAAATAATTCAAATCGAAAACAAAAACTCTTTCATTATGTAATCCGTGCATTTCTTTCTAAAGGCACGTCCAAAGGAGATGGCCAGTCAGGTTAATTTATTTTTGCAATATTGACTCAAAACATTAACAAATAACTTAAATATCCCCTCACTATTTTTTTTACTTGTTTGTTTTTTATTGGTTTGTTTTTTGGGCCGCTGTGTTCGCATTCAGTAGCCTATATGGCAGCATTTTTGTGCCACGTTTAAAAATAACTAAATAAGATTAACGTCATATTTTAACAGGAGTCAAAATTACGACAATAATGTAATAATAATTTCACAAGTTAATGTGAAAATTCCACCTATAGGTGTCAGGGGTTGCCAGGCGAAGGAGTTCGAAGGAGAACGCAGGAGGCAGATATACAACAAACAGTCTTTTAATAAATCCACTGGGGAGAAATGCAGAAAACAACCGCTTTCAACGACGGACACAGGACAAAGAAACTTAGGAAAGGCAGGGCTTTATACTGAACCAAACGATAGCCTAATAGGATGATTGATTAACACAGGTGGAAACTAATGAATGATGATTAACTAAATAATGAGAACAGGAAAAGAGCCAAATAAGGACAGACAGGAACTAGACTGAAACGTACACGTGACAGATCGCCCCCCTCCCAGACGGCGCGGGACAGTACCATTGGGGAGGGCGCCCTGGAGGCTGGTGCAGGACTGGAACAGGGCCGAGACCAGGGAAGCCTCCAGGGCGTGGTCAGGAGGCCACGGCGGAGCAGGCAGTTCAGGTTGCCATACCATGGCGGATCATCCGTGGCCTTAGCTGGCTCAGTCTAGCTCGGGATATGGCCTCCCCCCAAAATTTTCTTGGGGAAATCTAGGAATCCTGGGGGGCGCTCTGGAGGAGCGGGCACTTGAGGGTGCACTGGAGGAGCGGGCACTTTTGAGGAGCCGGCTCTGGGGGGGGCACTCTAGAGACAAAGGAGGGCTGGACGGGACCAGCGGAGATGACGGAGACTCAGGAGACGATGGAGAGCTGGACGGGACCAGCAGAGACGAAGGAGACTCAGGAGAGCTTTCTAGAGCCGATTCAGGCGAGAGGATAGGAGCCGAGAACTCCGAAGGAAGCGCCAAATCCAGGAGCGCTGGTGCCTCATTTTCTGGGCTGAGGGCTGGAATGGATCTTGGACGAGATCCGGAAGGCACGGGTGGAATGAGGGGAGCGGGCTCATTGGAGCAGTATGTGGAGGGAGCTGGTTTGTGGTGAGCTGGAGCGCCCACATGCTTCCGGATGGGATCAGGACGATTATCTTCCACAAAGAAATCCGAGTCATTCAAATGGAGGACGTAATTTATAAAGTCTGCTACGGGTCTATAACAATCGCCAGGAGACAGAAATCGGAACGATTTATAATCATCCAGTCCCATCCGGAAACAAGCATTAAGCATATGATCGCTCCAGCTCACCAGATGATAAACACTCAGGAACTCCTCCACATATCGTTCCAATGGCTTTCCCTCCTGCTGGATGTTCAGCAGTAAATCCTCAGCCCAGTTCATATTTTGTGGGTCCTGTCTTCTGTCAGGGGTTGCCAGGCGAAGGAATTCGAAAGAGAACGCAGGAGGCAGATATACAAAAAACAGAGTCTTTTAATAAAGCCACTGGGGAAAAATGTATAAAACAACCACTTTCAACGATGGAGACAAGCCAAATAAACTTAGGAAAGGCAGGGCTATTTATACTGAACCAAATGATAGACTAATAGGATGATTGATTAACACAGGTGGAAACTAATGAATGATCCAAATATAAGTACTTATTATAAGTGTACCGTAGTGATTCGGAACAAGACAAAAACGCGGTTTGGAAGATGAATTCATGATGTACTCGCTCATTATATACATTTTGCAAATTTTGAACACAGAAAAAGTTACATAGTGCTGCTTTAAAGAGCGTAAAAAGACGTTTATTGTTTGCATGTTATCATAAAATTGACAGAAGGCTGAGACTTTGTAGTAATAAAGCACAAAGCTGTGATTATTGGCTGGCTTGCGTGCTACAAATAATGAATGGACTTGAAAACTTTAAACATAATTTCCAAGCATTAGCCTAGAGCGTAAATAAAACAGCTTGTGAATAGTCACGATTCACGTAACGTTATTTACTTCAGAAAAATCAACAATAGGGCCTAAGTTAGGTTAACCGAGTTGGAGCCCATAATGTTTGGGGGGGCCCGTACATTTTTTTTGCATAGGGGCCCGGGGCTGACTCGCTACGCCACTGGACATAGGCAAGCGCAGTGACAAACGCGGAAGCGCAGAGGAGAGAGCAAAACAAAACACCAGTTTATAAAGTAAATATGGTTATTTTTCTTATACAAATGCATCGCTTTACTTCAGGAGGCCTTTATTCACCCCCCAGGAGCCGTGTGGATTACTTTTGATTATGGATGGATGCAAAACAGAAATCTGAGTTTACTAGCAGATGACCTAGGACGTAGAAGTATGGTAAGGTCCGGTGAGAAGTGACAAACGCGGAAGCGCAGAGGAGAGAGCAAAACAAAACACCAGTTTATAAAGTAAATATGGTTATTTTTCTTATACAAATGCATCGCTTTACTTCAGGAGGCCTTTATTCACCCCCCAGGAGCCGTGTGGATTACTTTTGATTATGGATGGATGCAAAACAGAAATCTGAGTTTACTTTAATTGATGCAGTTTACTTATTTATAGTAAAGGGCAATTATACATTTTACACTATACAGATGAGCAAGGATACAAGTCAAAAGGCAAGATTTCTCCAAGATAGTACTCTGCCTCAAATATAAATGGAAAGCCAGTGCTGAACCATTTGCAGTACTTGTGGTTCTTAAGAATAAGTACACCACACAGACGCCGAAATTATACATAATCAAGATAAACAAAACCTGACCCTCGGCCACAGCAGCTGCTACTGTGGAAATGAATGCATTTTCTTGGTCTTCTTTGTCTCACTAAACCAGCAGTCTTAACATAGAGACTGAGACTGATTCACATCTTGAATAGTATGTCTCCTGCAAACAATATCAACTTAAGTTAATAAATTTCTCCACTGCATAGTCACAATTTGGATTGACAAAGCCAACATACTGTTATTGTAACATAAGATTTTTTCCACCCAAAATCTATCTATCTATCTATCTATCTATCTATCTATCTATCATGCTGTAGTTCTATCGCACATTCTATTGTTCTAACGTTCTATCTATCATTCTGTACTGCATAGCAACACCTTAGCAACCAAAAAACTCCAGCCACTCAAACTAATCAGTCTTGGCTGTGTGTTGGCCATCAGGCCAGGAAGATGCAGAGCCAGAGTTGTCTAGAGCCAGAGTTTGTTACATGACTTTTGAGTCAGCTTCAGTGAGCAATGAGGCCTGTGATTATAATGACAATATATGAGCTTTCCAATTAGAGCTCTATTTTTGCACTGCCAGAAGTGAGGTATTACATCCCTAATGTGTCATATTTTATTCAAGACCTACATCTTCTCTGATAGATACCTTCAGCAGAAATGTAGTTTAACTTCAATTTCAGAGCGGATGCTATAAATCAGACATTTGACAAGGTGTAGTATATTTAGACAATTATATTCCAGTCCTGTTCTATTAACAAAGAGAACCCGGTCTTCATCAATCAAAGGTCCTTTGAGGTCTTCAGTGTTTCACAGGATATTTGGTCAGAGTCTGTGTCATATCTTGCTGTGTTTACAGTCCTGTTACCTACTGTAGCTTCACTATGTGGTGAGATTCTTAGTTTTGCACACACACACACAAACACACACGCACACACAGAGACGCACACACACACACACACACACACACACACACACACACACACAAAGGCCTACAGGAATCCTTGACAATCATTGCAGTCTCCAGCTTGGAGATCTGTCTGAACTTATAAGAATGACATTGTATTACTGACAGGGCATTGGACATGACATCTAATCAGCTCCTGAGTGTGTTTTAAGGTATCTAATGCTTCCAAAGAAGGTTTCTGTTTTAAAGGGGTCATATGACGTTGCTAAAAAGAACATTATTTTGTGTATTTGGTGTAATGGGTTTAAGGTTCACAAAACATTATTTTCCACATACTGTACATTATTGTTGCTTCTCTATGCCCCGCCTTTCTGAAACGTGTCGATTTTTAATATAATATAAATGTACATATATGACGAAGATGTTTTTGCGACAGCTCCAGCTCTCTGACGCGCAGTGTATACATATGCAACTGCCATACACTATATAGGGATTAGTGAATGAGTGAACGAGTGAGCGATTTCGGACACAGCTTTAATTTGTTCCCGAATTATACATTTTTAACAAATCATTTTCTAAATCATATACTGTCTGAGTAGATACTTCTTTTGAACACGTAGTTACTTTTCAACTGCTAAGAATATGTTCTATAGTTTGAATGTGTGTAGTATGAATGTAATCCGGATGTACTACATTCATGTTGTCATTATCGTGACCTACCAGCATAATTTGTGTCACTTCAATGCTATTCAGAAATTCTATACATACATTTTTTTGCCTACTATACAGTAGGGAAGTATGCGATTTTGGATGCAGCCATTGAATGATAAAGATTGTCACTTGTCACCACCTACTGGCATAACAATGTAACCTGCAGAAAATACCTGGTTGCTTTTAATAAACAGCTTAATAAAAGTCTCCAATGTTTTATAAATTGTTACATTTAATAATAATAATAATAATAATGAACAATTCTCCCACTGTCACAATCTGCTATGTGGGAGCGAGGAACGAGGGAATGAGAAGCACGTAGGAGAATCACTGTAATAACAGTCTTTATTTATCCAAACAGAAGGAAACACAGGGTAGCCAGGAGACACACACATAGCGCAAGGTGTAGACGTTAGACACCGGACAAAGGAAACAAGGAACAGAACACTCTTTAAATACATGACTAGACGAAGGACACAACGAGGAACACCTGAAATAAATAAACATAATCAACATGAGGGAGAAACTGGGTCATGGGGAGCACATGGAGCACGTGGGGGTGGAAAACAAACACAACAGTCCATGGGCGTGACATTACTCCCCCGGGGTGGGCGCTCTGGAGGTCTCTAGGGACAGGCTTACCTGGGACGGATGGCCTCCAGGGCGGTACCCATTCCGGGACCCATGGCGGAGGCCTCCAGAGCGGTACCCGTTCCGGGACACATGGCGGATCAGGCAGTTCAGGGAGCCATGGCAGAGCAGGCAGACTAGGGAGCCATGGTGGAGCTGGCAGACTAGGGAGCCATGGCGGAGCAGGCACACTGGGGAGCCATGGCGGAGCAGGCAGTTCAGGGGGACATGGTGGAGCAGACAGCTCAGGGGGCCACGGCAGAGCAGCCTCCGTGGCCTTGGCCTCGGCACTTGGCCCGATCTCTACGGCCGGAGCCCTATAGCCCTCGCCCCTCAAAATTCCTTGGGGGAAATTTCGGGTTCTGAGGCCCTCCATGGGCTGAACTTGGGAACAGGAGCCCTCTCTGGGCTAGACTTGGGAACGGCCGGCGGGCTGGTTCTGGATCGGGGCGCTCTCCATACACCGCTCTCCCAACGCTCTCCATACACCGGAGGATCCCTTCCCTCCAGCTTAGCCCTGTGGTGTCTGGGAGGTCCACGGGGCGATAGTAATTGGCCCCGATCCAGAACAGAGAATTCATTGTGACGTTGTCTAACGCCATCGTCGCGGCGA